ATATATTTACTTTTTGTTTATTTATTACAAACAGATATTTACATTAAGTTGGTAAGAGTAAAAATTTAAACTAAATTGCAAATAAAAATAATTTTTTTTTTTCAAATTGAAGTATTACTTGGATAATAGTATTGTTTTATAATACTATCACTTTTTTCAAAAAAATTTATTTTAATTTTGCTTTAGTTTTACTACACAACACTTTTATAATAAGATAATATTTTTTTGTAGGCTTTTTTTCTGTGTTTTTTATTTTTATTTGAAGAGTTTTATGGTTTTTTTTGTTTAAATGTGTTTTTCTCAGTTCTTTAAAATTCACGACTCTGCAGTAAATATCTCTTTATTCTCTCAACAAATTTCTATGAAATTTTCAGGAGTTGTTCTTATTGTTATTACAGATGTCCCCTACCTCTTTTATTGCATTATGATAATTAGATAAAAAGATATTTAAGTCCTAATATGGTCAAAAATGCCTCTTTTTTTGTTTTTGAAGTGTTTTTCTTATTTAAAAAAAACTGGTCGATGTTTTTGTTTTGTTTTGGTACAGGATCTTCTTTAATATATTATAAGCATGTCTGAAAAATTTCAAGTTGATACCATGAATAGTTTTTGAGATATTTACCGCAACGAAATGACCCTATTTTGGGGTTTCCGGGACCAAATTTCTCAAACCGGTTAATTAAAAAAAAAAAAAAAAAAAGATTTGTGATTAAAATATGAATTTTAATTAACTTATAAAAAAATAATTTGTAAAATATAATTTTTGAAGGATTTTATTTTAATAGTGGTCTACCACCTTAATCTTTGATTAAGTTTTATTTACTAAAAATGTCAAAGGTTACTAAAAGAAAACTACCAAGTAAAATTATAACAGAAAAATAGATAATAAAAAAAACTTGGCAAAGGAGAATCATCTGTATCTATCTACATAACAGGGCCTACGACACGGGTTTCAAAGTGGGGGAGGGGGACACAAACGTCATTTCTTAAAAAAAGTCTTCTATATCTAGAATTTTTCTAAAAAAAAAGAAAAAAAAAAGAAAAAAAAGGTTCTTTAGAACAAAAAGTAGGGGGGGGCGGGGCACGTGTCTCCTGGCCCCTTTGGTATCGTTGGCCCTGCATAAAAAGAATACGGCATCTACTGGTAACATGTAACCCAGAACAACCTGTTCAATATCCTGATGTCTTTCTGGATTAGCATTCTAAGCAAATTCTAGAAGAAGTGTACTTTTCATCATCAATACTATATAATGTCATGTCATGCTTATAGTAATATATATTTCTTAAATTTATTTATTATTATTGTTATTATATATTTTTTTAATTAAATAATCTTTTGTACCGTTGGAGTTAGTTACTGTATTGGTTTACTGAGTTATTTTAGTTACTGTGCTAACTCACCAGTAATTTTACTTTATATATCTGTCTCAACCTCTGGTGTGGTGCTGACTCTCCCGCGAGTTGCTATCTGTATGTTTGTGTTCTATCTAAAACTCTGGCGCGATGTTTACTCACCCGTAAGTAACTTTATGTATATTTGTAGTTTGTCTGAACCTCTGGCGCGGTGTTTGATCACCCGTAAGTTACTTTACGTATTTTTGTGTTCTGTCGGAACGTCTGGTGTGGTGTTAGCTCACCCTTAACTTACTTTATGTATGTTTGTGGTCTGTTTAAATCTCTGATCCAGTGTGCGCTCAGTAACTAACTACTGACTCTAATTATTATATTTAAGCTCACCTTAATTTCTAATATTTTGTTAGATGCAATATTTTTTCCTAATGCATTTCTAAAATGTTTTGTTTAATGTTTTTAGTTGGTCATGCTCTTTTATATGGTGGATTATGGAGAAGAATTACTCCTGTTATCTTAATACCTTGAATTAACATCATTATCACTCTCGTTACTACTACTTGACAATAAAGATTTAGTTCCACAAAGCGTTATTGACCGTATTGGTGCGTTAGTTGTTTGTTGGACAACCGAACAGAAAGCTATTTGATGTCTAAAGCTGCTACAAAATGAATCATCATTCACTGCTATTTCTCGAGAATTAAGAAATTTAGGTCATGAAAACTGGATTCCTTCATTAAACCCTGAATGGCTTCTTCTTGAACTAGAAGGAAACTTTCTAATTCGTCCTATTCAGATTGATATTGCTCAAAGTATGCTGAATGCAAATGAAAATTTTGTTCAACAGCTAAATATGGGAGAAGGAAAAACCAGTGTAATTGTTCCTTTACTTGCAGTTTCTTTAGCTACATCTGAACAGCTTGCTCGAGTAACTATTTTGCGTACTCTTTAAACAGAAACTATGAATCGTTAGTAAACAAACTTGGTGGTCTTCGGAATAAACGAGTATATATTGTTCCATGTCGCAGAGATATAACAATAGATCCTTTAAAAATTTTAAGTATTTATCAAGAATGTCTTCATGAACGTGGGTTAATACTTACAACTCCTGAATACAGATTATCTCTTGAATTAAAAACTTTAAAACAATGTGTTAAAAAGTCAACTGATGCAAATCAATTTTATGAGCTGCGTTGTTGGCTTCGGAAGTACGCACATGATGTGTTGGATGAAACTGATGAGATATTAAACGTAAAATATCAGATGGTTTATAGTCTTGGTGAACAAGTGATTGTTGATGGGGGAGAAAAAAGGTGGATAATTAGACAAGCAGTTTTGAGGTTAGTTAATGAATTTGCAGAAGAACTTTTAGAAATATATGGGGAAGAAAGTATTGAGTATGTCGAATACAAAATTCGCTGTGCTGACTCGTTTTCACATATTAGATTTTTTAAGAAAAATACAGCTATGTACAAACATTTGTGTGGTTTAATTGTTGATTCAATCCTTACCAATGAAGTTGCAGAGGTTTCAGCAGTAGCTAAGTTAGGACAAAAAGACAAAAAGTATGTATTTATTACCTCTAACATCGTAAGTGGTTCAGAGGCAAACAAACGTATATCAGAACTTTTTAAAATGAGTTCAATTATAGAAGAGGAGGTGTTGATTTTAAGAGGATTACTTTTTTATGAAATTTTGCATATGGCACTTCAAAAACGTTGGAGAGTTAACTTCGGTGTTAATCCTATGAATTTCATTTCAAAAATAGCAAAATTTTTGCAGCAACATCTTTTCTAGCAAAAGATGTTGCTGCAGAACGAACTGAGTTTGGGCACCCTGATATGGCTATAGTTTTAACACAGATTAGCTATTATATGAGTGGTCTTAATGACGATCAGTTAGATGAAGTATTTAAATACTTAAAAAAGTGTTCGTATAAATGTATCTGTCAATACCTGAGATTCTTTTAATGATTTTCTTCGTGACAATCCTTAGGCTGATGCCTCTCTTAGCTGATAAATGCGAAGAAGGTCTACGTAATCTCTTGGATTCAGGCAGGAATAGAAGTTTTTCTTCCTCTTAATCGGTTCCACTTGACCTAATTCTGAATGGAGTAGAATTAGGTCAAGTCTAGTTCTACTCCATGGTTTTCACCTTTTTTAGCATCTAATGGTGGTCATTTTTTTCATTTTTTTTCAAAAGAAAAAATCTCTTGATAACAAACGGCAATTCATAATTGCAAGTAATAGGTAGGTAAATTGGTGTAAAAAAAGTGTTGTCTGATGCTAAGCTTCATTATTCTCAGTTCACTAAACCTTGTACCTTATCTCAAAATATAGGCTCTAGAGACATTTGGAAAATCTTCAACAGCGTCATTAGGGTAGGTCTAAAATGTCTTATTAATGGGGCTGATCTTATTACCTCTCCCAATAATAATACAAAACTATTCGCAAAGAACTTTTTTTCTAACTCGACATGTAGATACATATCCGGACGTTACCGGACCCTCACTGCACCACACTATATCTCAGTTAATGGGAAATAGCCAAGATGGTATATTCAAATATCGTGGAATATACCATCTTGACTATTTCTATCGTGCAATATACCATCTTGACTAAAAATATTTGAAGTAAAATATCTCTTGTAATTTCTTTTATTTGTGTTAATAATTAGCAATACAAATTGCAGTATTTATTCTAGAGTTCATCGCTTTAAATATAGTGATAGCAGTTGCATTAAAACAATACAATTAATACAATATACTCAGATGTTTTTATCAAGGAAACTTGCCAACATACTTCTGTCATATATTTTGGAACATAGTTTCACGATGGTTTGGGTTACATGCCGTTAAAAACAATACTTAGTATGAATTTTGTGAAAGTTAATTAATAGTTCTGCATAGTTGTGACGAATTTTATGTGTATAATTATAATATATTAATAATATATATCACCTTATTGCCTTCGCATTTGGGGTTCGGGGAGCAAACCTTTGGGGCTTTTTTTGCCAGAATTCATTCACTGTTATTTTGAAACATCAAAAAATCTGATAATGTGATCAGAAAACATCAAAATAACTACGTCATTGATACTTAGCTTTTTGATTGAGTACTCGATTGGGAAAGATTTTATCAGGGCTGTGGAGTCGGAGTTGCATCATTTTTAGCGGAGTCGGAGTCGCTAAACAAAATTGCGACTCCGACTCCAATAGTAAAACTTCTCGGTATTGCACGTGCATGTACAAAATATACAATCAACCTTATGTTCATACTAAACCTCAAAGAATGTTTCATAAATTTTTCAAAAAAACTTTTTATCCTATTGCGTAATATTTTAGAGTTAGAGTTGTAGTCGGAGTTGTACTCAAAAAATTTCAACAACTGGAGTCGGAGTTGAATTCAAGTTGTACTCAAAAAATTTCATTAACTGGAGTCGGTGTCGGAGTCGTTACTTTTTTTTTTACGACTCTACACCCCTGGATTTTATATATAAGTACAATTAGCACATAAAAAAAAACCTCCTTCAAACGTAATTTTTCAAAAAAAAAACCTACTCCTTCAAACGTAATTTTTCAAAAAAACGATTTTATGTTCCAGTAAAAAAATAATAACATTATCTTATTGATGGAATAAAAAAACTCGCGAGTAATTTTAGTAAACAATTTCATCATGCTACAATACAATTTTAAAGTTTTAACATATAAAAAATATTCTACGTACAAAACATAAATGAATAATTATGAAAACGGAAGTAAAAAATATGTATATATAAATATATGGAACTAGAAAAAAAGTAAAACAACTGCAAAATAAATAAAAATGGTGCTTCAACTTTTAATTAAAACAAAATTGAAAATCAAATTTTTGAAATAATTATTAAATGCACTTATAACGCATACGAGCATAATACGTGTATGCTCTGCAAAATACATGCATACAAATTAAAATGCATGCATACACATTAAAATGCATGTATGCTCAATAGAGCATAGAAAAATTTGAGTAAGTACAGTAGAATGCATGTATAAACAGTCATGCGTAAAACTCAAATACTTTTAGAAATCAAAAACTCTACATTATCTACATTAATTTGTATATTAATATGTATATATTAATATATATATATACATGAAAAATCAAGAATGTGTTGAGAACTCCAGTTGAGCATAATTAGTCAGTTTTTTACCTAACTTATCATGCTGGTCAAGTTTTTGATCAATTGAGGGTGACGATGGTGAAGATAATGCCCGAAGTTCTTCAACTGATTCAGAAACAGCAGAACCAACTTGAAAGGTTTTGTTCTGAGTACTACCGGTTTCTCGCAGCAAATTTGGATCAACTTCTGTGTAGGGTTGTCGTACTTGCCTCGGACTATCATCATGACTAGTATAGTGAGTTACTGGTTTTACAGTGCACACAACATATTCTGGAGAACTGCGTATTATTTCTTTGATTTTTTCAATTGGGCATTGTGAAACTTGAGTTCCATTTATGTCCATAATTTGATCAC